CCACAGGCGCCGAGCCAATTATTATTATTTTTAAAAAATCTGAGTTCATTAGCTTTTTGTCTTTGGTACTTTCTGGTGACAATAGCCTTAAAGTGAGGCTCATGATCTATCACACATTATCTTTTTTTTTTTTTTTTTTGAGACAGAGCCTCAAGCTATCACCCTGGGTAGAGTGCCGTGGCGTCACAGCTAATAGCAACCTCCAAACCCTATGCTTAAGTAATTCTCTTGGCTCAGCCTCCCAAGTAACTGGGACTATAGGCGCCCACCACAATGCCTGGCTATGTTTTGGTTATAGTTGTCATTGTTGTTTGGCAGGCCCGGACTGGATTATAACCCACCAGCTCTGATGTATGTGGCTGGCATCTTAGCTGCATGAGCTACAGGTGCTGAGCCTTTTTTTTTTTTTTTAATTGAGACAGAGTCTCACATTGTTACCCTTGGTAGAGTGCCGTGGCATCACAGGTCATTGCAACCTCAAATTCTTGGGCTTAAGCGATTTTCTTGCCTCAGCTTCTTAAGTAGCTAGGACTATAGGTGCCTACCACAACGCCTGGCTATTTTTTTGTTGTAATTATCATTGGCGTTTGGTAGGCCTGGGCTGGGTTTGAACCTGCCAGCTCTGGTGTATGTGGCTGGTGCCCTAGCCACTGATCTATAGGCACTGAACCAATCACAGATTATCTTACTGATCCTGAAAAGAAGCCTGCTTCCCATTTTGGTTCAGGCTAGAGAAACATTCTTGACCATTGCTAAGAGTCTCCTTACTATAATACTTGTGCAAGTGATCCTTAAAATAAGTAAGAGCCTCCTTAGCCCTCCATCTCAATTACCCTTGTCATATAGAGTACAAGGAAACCTGTGATTCATATTTTTCTGTGGATTCTGATTTAAGCCTAAACCAAGCCTGTGGTCCAACTCTGGTTTGTTCAAGAGCAGCATTGTCCACTGACACTTTCTGTGGTGGAAGGAATTTTATGTCTATGCTGCCTCCAGTGTAACTGCTAGCCATATGTGATAGTAAACATTTGACATATGGCTAAGTAACTGAGTTTTTTAATTGAATTTAATTTCAACCTACTGACCGTTCAGTGGGCCTATGTGGCTAGTGGCAGCAGTGTCGGGCAGCACGGCACTAGAAGACTGGACTTTCTGGTAGGTGGCATTGCTGTTGCACCTGTGACCCTCCCCAGGCAGGGTCTGGAAGGTACTGAATTTTGGGGAATTGCTTGAAGTGACTTTGATACTGTCACAGTCTCTTAAATGATTAGAGCCCTCTTTTGTGTGTTTATGTACACATAGGCCTCTTTGGATCATCCCTCAAAGAAGGAATTTGCTTTCAGTTTTCCCTTTTCCCCCTTAGGACTGGTGGAAAGTGGAAGTGAATGATCGTCAGGGATTTGTGCCAGCTGCATATGTGAAGAAATTGGATCCAGCCCAGTCAGCCTCCCGGGAGAACCTTCTGGAAGAGCAAGGAAGCATAGCACTTCGGCAGGAACAGATTGACACTCAGTAAGGGTGACATAGTTGGCCACACAGGGCCAGAGGCTTACTTTGCCGTTCTGGTCGGCCAAGCCTTCAGGCATGTCCTCAGGCTTCTGGACCCATCTGCTCTCCTTCTCTTTCACCAGGTCACGTGTAGCCCACAGACCCATGTTGGAGTCTGAAATCCCTAACTGACACCTTATTTTCCTTTGTTTTATTTTTTTCTACCAGTGTTCCTGAGTTTCTTTTCCTAAACAGAAATGTTATAATCATTGCCATTTTAACCTTTGCCTTTGAAATGGTTTGAGATGCTTTTTGAAATGACATTTTCACCCTACTGCTATATCCCTTGGAAAGGTTGCAGAGAGAGCTTCTCTTTCTACCATGGCTTTCTGTTCTGAGAATGGGGTTCCTCTTCTGTAGACCAGCTCTGTCCTCTTCTCTGTAGTCAGGCCACCATGTTGACCTGTTCCCTCCTTTAGGGCTTTTCCTTCTATGTAAGTGAAATCAACAGCTTTGGACACTTGGGAAATATCTAGAAAATGCTTTCCCACTAGAGTTTAGGTGGAATAATGGAATTTTTCTGACCCCAGTGAACTCAAAAGGATCAGAGTTATTTGTGCATTTGTAGATTTTGTGCTGTTAACATAGGATAAGGGGTTTGGGGTTGTGTTCTTGCCAATGACCTGAGGCATTAATATGAGAACAAAAAAGTAGATCAAATATGTGGCTACATTGCTTATTAGCACTGAGTAAAATCTCTCTCTAAGGGCAGTCCATTGTTCCCTGGCTATGCTCTGTGAGGTTACCAGTCATTATTTACAGTACAGAAAAATCTGCCTTAAACATGGTAGACTTGTCAGGAAAATGAAGGTGAACTAACCCTCTAATTTAAATTTTCTGCTCTTTCATTACTGTGATTTCATTCATGGCCTTGCCTGCTTGAATGACCCCTTAGTCTTTCCCACTTTACACATCCACCATCCTGGCACCTATTGGAGCTGCCGCTTTGATCCCTGTGGATTAATCCCACTAATTTGTGCATGCTTTTGCTGTGCCCCCTCTGTGCAGGACACGCATAACTAAGGAGGCCGGCAGTGTATCTCTGCGTATGAAACAGGTGGAAGAACTGTGAGTAGGCTGAGAGCCTTGCTAAGCACCCCACGTTCACTGCTACCCCATCCATTCTCCCTCTGCCGCTTCTCTCCAAGGCCCATGTTCATCCAGAAAGTTGAGGTGGTGGGAGGAACTACATGTCTGCGCGGCAGCTTTCCTGCACAGGGAGGTGGTGGTGGTGCAGCCACCTCAGCTGGTGACTGCTTACCTCTTTGGTTGCTTGAATATGCAGCTGTGTGTTCAGAGTGGTGTTGGGTCCCCTCCTATTGGTTGTTGTGGTGGACCAGCCACTATTAGCAGCAAGCTGAAGGCCATTCTATAGTTTTCCTTAATAGGAAGAAAATTATATACCTTTCTTTAAAGTGTTAAAGTGCTCTGATTCTTGGCAGCTCATTTTTTGTTTCAGTTTGAGAAGCTTAGTTTTGATGGTGATTCTAGACTTTTATTTTATTTTATTTTTTTGAGACAGTTTCATTATGTCGCCCTCAGTAGAGTGCTGTGGCATCACAGCTCACAACAACCTCAAACTCAGGCTCAAGCAATCTTCTTGCCTCAGTTTTTCTTTTTTTTTTCTTTGAGACAGAGTCTCATTATGTTGCCCTGGTAGGGTGCTATGATATCACAATTCATAGCAACCTCAAACTCTTGGGCTTAAGTAATTCTCTTGCCTCAACTGCCCAAGTAGCTGGGACTACAGGTGCTCCCCACAACACCTGGCTATTTTTTGGTTGTAGTTATAGTTGTTTGGCAGCCCCAGGCTGGGTTCAAACCCGCCAGCTCCAGTGTATGTGGCTGGCGCCTTAGCCGCTTGAGCCACAGGCGGCAAACCAGTTTTTCTATTTTTAGTAGAGACAGGATCTCACGGTGGCTCATTCTGGTCGCAAACTCATAAGCTCAAGCAGTCCACCCGCCTCAGCCTCCCAGAGTGCTAGGATTACAGGCATGAACCACCATGCCTGCCCTATAGTTTGTCATTTTCATGTCTTCAAAGATAGGAGTTCAATCTTTATTGTTTTATAAACACTAAATATCCATCAGGTTTTTTTTTTTTTTTTTTTGCAGTTTTTGGCTGGGGCCAGGTCTGAACCCACCACCTCCGGTATATGGGGCCAGTGCCCTACTCCTTTGAGCCATAGGCGCCACCCTATCCATCAGTTTTTCTTAAGATAAACCTTCCATGTAACAAAATGATACAGATACTGTATAAATATAGACATAAACTTCTACCAATATCCACCTGCCCGGGTGCATGGCTCACGCCTGTAATCCTAACAGTGTGGAGGTTGAAACAGGCGGATTGCCTGAGCTCATGGGTTAGAGACCAGCCTAAACAAGAGCAAGACCTTGTCTCTAAAATAGCCAGTCAGCTTGGCGCCTGTAGCTCAAGCAGCTAAGGTGCCAGCCACATACACCTGAGCTGGCGGATTTGAATCCAGCTTGGGCCTGCCAAACAACAATGACAACAATAACCAAAAAATAGTGGGGCACTGTGGCAGGTGCCTGTAGTTCCAGCTACTTGGAAGGCTGAGGCAAGAGAATCACTTAAGCCCAGGAGTTGGAGGTTGCTGTGACCTGTGACGCCATGGCACTCTACCCAGGGTAACAGCTTGAGGCTCTATCTAAATAAATAAATATAGCTTGGTGTTGTGGTGGGCACCTGTAGTCCCAGCTACTCAGTAGACTCAGACAAGAGAATCACTTTGAGCCCAGGAGTTTGAGGTAGCTATGAAGTATGACGCCAGCAGTCTACTGAGGGTGACAAAGCAAAACTCTTTCCCAAAAAAGAAAGAAAGAAACGTCCAGCTGATCCACAGATATAGACATCCTACATCGGCTGTTTTAAAGCTCAGCGTCCTTTCCCCCACCTCACTTCCCACCTGGAGGCTTCTCAGGAAATTATAAAAGAAGAGAATAAAAACTCTCTGTGTACATCCTGGCCAGCAAGTTCATCTCATCTCAGCTATAGTCGCATGAACCCTGTGTTAGTTAGTGCTAAGCGCTTGGTCTCAGTCTTTGTGGTTGTGATGGTATAATTGCAGCACTGACCTTGGGATAGGTGTACCTGGCTATTCTGGCTGTCTTGCTGTGAAGAAGACAGTGTACACTTATCCCTGAGATGATGTGGGTCCCTGGGGTCTTTGTCTTCATATGCGTGCTGGACTTTGTCACTAGGGCATCATCATTCCACACTCCTAGCCTTGGATCCACACCTGGGAGACATCTAGTGGTTTGCCCATGTGTTAACATCTGTAGGATGCTAACTGCCTTCCTTGCCCCTCTTGTCACTCTGTTGAATTACATTAGATACCATTCTCTTCTGGAACTGGGCGAAAAGCGGAAAGGCATGTTGGAGAAGAGTTGTAAGAAGTTTATGTTGTTCCGTGAAGCAAACGAACTACAGCAGTGGATCAAT